TATTTTCGGGAGGAGGAGGAGGAGGAGGAGGAAGAGATGCTACACGCCAGTCGTTGAAAGTAAATATTGATGAATTCCCAGGTTCCAATCTACTTTAGGCGCCTGCATACTTCAAATATCGAGTGTTTCCTCCTTTTCCTTCCTCAGCAGGGGGTGGGGGTCATTAAAGTTTGTTCCCCACCCCTCAGGGTGGGGTCGTTAGCTCTTAAGAACAGACCTCCCGACTGGCCCACCCTGCATAGCGCGGCCGCCACATCCCCAAGTCCACCGAGCGTTCCTCGAGTATCCCGCCACCCGCGCCTTCGACGAGCACGACAGCACTGAACAGAACAGCGCATAATTTTGCGGGCGACGAACGGTATAAGATATAAACTTGTCCGTCACCTGGGGCGCCTCTCAGGGCGGCTGGGAAAATTAGACCTTGACGCGCCACCGCAAGGGTATAAACGCTCCAGCCGCCCAGGGACAGGTGCCCCCGACAGCGAAACAGTGAATTCGATACCGTCATTCGCCCGTTAAGTAACAAAAAATAGCATGACGGAACATGACCGAAAACAATTGAGGTAACAGACCATGACATAGCAACACATAACACTTGCCCCCACTTCGGAACACATCGGCGCCGGCGGCGCTGGCTCCCCTGCTGGCGGCTGCCCGACCCAGAATCCGATTTCTCGGGGTCGGCTCGGACAAGGTTGGCTGGGGCGGGGGGTGCAGTTGCCGGGGCAGGGTTAGCGCAGCGTTCGGGAATGCGAGCAGGACATCTCGGAGGAGGAGAGGAGGAGGAGGAGAGGAGGAGGAGGAGGAGGAGGAGGAGGAGGAGGAGGAGGAGGATTTACCATAACTTCAGTCCTGCCTCTGCCGTGCAGAAGGGACCTGCTGGGCCACCGGGGGTGCCCCCAATGGCCACCCGTGGTCGGAATGCCCTAGCACGGAAAGCCCGCGCAGCGCCCGATGCCGCGCGCCGGCGCTGCCACACCAGCGGAAGGCCTCCCGGGTCGGGTGGAGGCAACCCGTAGGGCTTGGCGCAAAGCCACCGGCAGGGGTCCACCGCGTCGCTCAACGACGCAGTACCCCACCTGCCCCTGCGGGCCGTGCCGCCTCCGCGCGCGCGCGCCCCCGTGGCCGACAGGGGTGCCCCAGGGGGGGGAGGAGCGCCAGGTAGGAAGAGGCCAGGGACCCCGAGCCAGGGGGAACCCTGGCAGCGGGGGGCATCCCGACCCTTTCCCACCCTACACGCCACCCACCCCAAGGGGGAGGGCCCCCTCGGCCGACGGGGGCGCGGTCCCCAAAACCCCCCCGCAGCCCTCCGCCTTCTACGGCTAGTCCCCGGCTCTATTTCGTCATCCCGCCGATACAGGCGGCAGTCGACGACTTTGGGTTCCCCGACCATCCCGGTGTGCTCACCGGGCCCCCAGCTTGTGCGGGGGGGAGGGTAGGAGGAGGGGGAGGAGGAGGAGGAGGAGGAGGAGGAGGAGGAGGAGGGAGGAGGAGGAATAATAACAATAATAATAACGCTGCTAATAATACAACTATTTAGAAGAAGACAAAGAATACTAATAATAATAATACTGATAATAATAATAATTTTGATGATGATGATAATAATACTAATAATGATAATAATTATAATAGTAATGATAATAACAATTATAATAGTAATAATAATAATAACAACAATAATGAAAATAACCATAAAAATACTAATAATAGTAATAATAATAATAAAAAATAAGTAACAATAATAATAATAATAGTAATAATAATAATACTAATAATAATAATAATAATAATAATAATAATAATACCATGAAGAAGAAGGGGGAGGGAGGGGGCGGAGGAGGAATGAGGGAGGAGGAGGAAGGAAGAGGAGCAGGAGGAGGAGGAGAGGGGAATGAGAAGGAGGGGGAGGATGAGGAGGGAGAAGAAGAAGAAGAGTAATAAGAATAACACAAATAATAAGAATCATAAGAAACATAGAAAATAAAAAATAATGAGAAGAAGAAGAGGACGAAGGGGGGGAGGGAAGGAGGAGGAGGGAGGGAGGAGGAGGAGGAGAGAGGAAGGAGAAGGAGGAGGAGGAGGAGGAGGAGAAGAAGGGGGAGGGAGGGGGCGGAGGAGGAGGGAGGAGGAAGGATGGAGGATGGAGGAAGGGAAGGGAATAGGAGGAGGACAGGCGTGGATATGTGATCCCCCCTCCTCCCAAATCCTCCATCACACCCCACCTCCCCCTTCCCTCCGAGTGATCGACGACAAGGAACGGGTCTTGCGCGAGATGGCAGGCACAGCAACCTCAGGCGGCGGCTCACGCGGAGGCCGCCAGCGCGGCACTCTCCGTTTAGACACACGCGCTCCAGTACTCGCAGAATAACTACTCGCAAAATGGCCTGGATCCGCCGCGGGGGATTCACCATCCGCTACATACGGGAAGACCTGTTCTTGTTCGGACGTCTGCGAGCAGGCACTTTGCGAGTAGCGGAACGCGCCCGGCGACCTTTGGAGACAACAGCGCTCCCGCGCGCAGCCTCCGCGGGCAGCTCACGCGCTTGTTGCTCTGCGTGGCTCCAGTGGCGATGTGCTGCTCCGCGAGGGCGGCGCGAGCGACCAACGCCCAGCCCCCCGACACACGCCGCGGGCTCGCGTGTCCGCGGCGCCGGCGCACCCCGAGGCTCAGACCCAGGGGTAGGGGCAGGAGGAGGAGGAGGAGAGGGAGGAAGAGGAGGAGGAGGAGGAGAAGGAGGAGGAGGAGGACGAGGAGGAGGAGGGAGGAGGAGGAGGAGGAGGAGGAGGTTGAAGAGGAGGAGGAGGAGGAGAAGGAGGAGGAGGAGGAGGAGACGGAGGAGACGGAGGAAGAGGTGGAGGAGGAGGAGGAGGGCCCCCGGGGCACGGGCTCGGAAACGTTTTCGTCGCAGGGGCCCAGGGGCACACAGAGAAGCAGGCACCAATCCCGGGATTCCCCGTACACGTTCCCACGTGTTCTGGGTTCTCGTCTTCCCCCTCGCTTCCCACATGTGTTTCCATATCTTTCTGGGAGTCGACGATGAATCGTGTCTGTGTGCTCTTCCCCCTCCTGATTCTTGTTCGGCATTCTGACAGTGGGCGGAAGGGAGGGGGGAGGAGGGGGGGTCTGGCTCTGGACCTCTGCTTCATGCGACTGTGTGCAACAGCAGTGCGTCCTAACCCCATGCTGCAGATAATAAACCCTAAGGGATAATAAAGTTCGGGGTTTTCGGGGGATAATAAAAGTTGCCCGCCAGAGCCAGCATAAAGAGATATCAAGAGGAAAAAGCCAAAGATATCTTGAGAACCCTTGGTCTTTGGTCCTCTACGAGGCATCCTCAACAATGATTTGTCTCGGTTGAGACATCCTCAACGAATTGCTTGTTTCGCTTGAGACATCCTCTAAATATTTGCCTGTTTCGCTTGAGACATCCTCAAATAATTGCTGGTTCCGCTTGAGACATCCTTGAAATATTGATCGTTTGGTTTCAGGTTGGCTCCCAAAATGATTGGTTTCGCTTGAGACATCCTGAAAAAACGTGTTCGCTTCGCTTGATGTTGTTATCTCAACATGAGAAGGAAGTAACCTCGATGGCGAACTTTTCCCGTGATAATGAAGTTCGGCCTCCGCGTCCCCGCGCCCCCGACCAAACTCTTATTGGCCGACGATAAAAAACTCTAACTACTTAAGGGGGGGGCGGGTACATTATTATCGTGGGCATGGGGTCATGGTGGAGACTCCACCTGCTTGAAACAGGCGCCAGCACAGCCAATATCAACTCCAGGGGGGGGGAGAGGGTGCGAGGGCCCGCGCCGATCGGCCAAACAATGAACAAGGAAACAATCGCCTTGCCATCCCGAGCCGATTGTTTCACGGCCCCAGCAACTGGCCGCGACCACAAGTAGGGCGACGAACTCTGCGACAGGCTCGTGTCGTGTCGACCCTGGCGTTGCTTCCTGACACCGCGGGGATCGTTCATCCTTAAAAGGCCGCCCGTTTCCGAAACGTCAGATTGTTCAACATCGACCGATTCTGGGTCGCTGGCGGCCGTTGAACGCTGACGGCGGGGTGAGGTCCCGACAACTTCACCGAGCGTCCTGGATACGTGCCTGATGGCCGCGGGACGCGGAAACTTCCCTCGACAGCCGAAGTTTGGGAAAAACGCTGGGGCTGAAAGAATTATGTCGTCGGTCGAATCCAGGACAGAAGAACATCTCTCAAGAACATGAGAGCCTCCGCCGGCCAGAACATTCCAAATCATGAGATCACTCGAGGATACCATCCCTCAGAAAACAGAAAAAAATCCAACAAACTCAAAGAACATTTAGGGCCCTCTCCGAACCGACCTCGATGTGATACCGCAACGTCGCATTTTTTCCATACGCGGTCCCCGGAAACCCGAATCCCTTCCCAGGGACCGGCTTCTCACCCTGAGCTGGTTTTTCACGATCCTGGACTCCTGGAGGGCCCCTGGAGGCCGCCATTGGCCTAAAACCTCCCGTCGTGATGTTTGTTGGCAGAGTCTGCGGGGGCTAACTGAGGTGGGGGCATCAATGAGACCACGCCTTCCTTGAGTTGTTAATATATAACCGCGCTCCACTACTCGCAAAGCTCGCAAACGACCTGGATCCACTGCGTCGAGGCAGACAGACTCCATGGCATCGAATAAAGCTCGCTTGTGCTGACGCCTGCGAACAGGCACTTTGCGATTAGTGGAACGCGCTCGGTGAGTTTGGGCCAGCCCAGACCCCCGACGTCGTGATCTTTTCACAACGTCGACCCCCAGAGGTCTGGACCCCTTCCCCAGGACCGGCTTCTCATCCTAAGTCGGTGTTTGACGGTCCCGGGGCCCGGAGGGGGCCCCAGGAGGACGAAAATGATCAAAACCCCCCCGTCGTTGTTTTGTCACAACGCGAGGGAGGGGTCCCAAAACCACCCTCGATCCCACACCTCGGTCCGACCGTGCGGGAGCCCCGAACCCCACTGCCGGAGGAGCGTCCTGGTCGGGGGCGACGTCCTCCGCGCCCACGGCGCCGTGGCCCTTCCTGGCCCGGGAGGGCGGGGCTGGTGCGGCCGGCCCCGCGGGTGAAAGGGGGGGAGCCGGGGGGCGGGCGCGGAAAAAAAGAGGGAGGAAGGGAGGAAGGGAGGGAGGGGGGGAGGGGGGGAAAAGGAGGAAGGAGGGGGGGGGGATGAGGAGGAGGAGGAGGAAGAGGAGGAGGACGCGGACGAGGAGGAAGAAGGAGGAATAGGAGGAGAGGAGGGAGGAGGATGAGGCGGAGGAGGAGGGGGAGGAGGAGGAGACGAAACATGAACATGAGCATGAGCATGATCAAAAGACGAAGTCTTACGGAGGAGGAGGAGGAGGAGGAGGAGGAGGAGGAGGAGGAAGAGGAGAACGAGGAGCAGGAGGAGTAGGAGGAGAACGAGGAGCACGAGCATGAGCATGAGCATGAGCATGAGCATGAGCATGATCAAAAGACGAAGTCTTACGGAGGAGGAGGAGACGGAGGAGGAGGAGGACGAGAAGGAGGAGGAGAAAGACGAGAACGAGGAGTAGGAGGAGGAGGAGGAAGACGAGGAAGAAGAGGAGGAGGAGGAGGTCGACGAGGACGAGGAGGAGGAAAAGGAAGAGGAGGAGGGCGGCCAGGACGGGGCCGGGAGGCGGGCGCAGGAGGGGGGGGGGAGGGGGAGGGGTCGAAAAACGGTATAAGATGAGCCGTTCCGCCGTCGGGGGCGTCGGCCCCCTCCTGGGCGCCTCGTGGCGCCGTAATGGTATGAACTTTCCAGCCGCCCGGGGGTCAGGCGTCCCCGACGGCGGAGAACTTCATCTGATACCGCATTTCGCCCCCTAAAAGGGGGAGGGAGGCAGGGAGGGAGGAACGGAGGGCCGACCACGATCACCACGACCACCAGCAGGCCGACCACTAGCACGACCACTGCTAGCACGACCACCCCGACCGCAAGCACGACCACCACGACCACCACCAGCACGCCCGACTACCAGCGCGGCCACCGCCAACCCGACCACCACTACGTACACTACCACGGTCACCACCAACCTCAATACGACCAGCCGCCGACCCCAACGGCAACCGCCGTCCCCCGTTCCCCTCCCCCTCCCCCCTCCCTTCCCTTCTCCTGCTGGGCCGCCCTTTCCACGGGGCTAGTTTCGCGACTCCCCATGCCCCTGCATACTATAGCTATAATCTAAAATTGATTTACACTCAGAAGCGAAGCGCCACGGGGCAAGACCTCCAGGAGGCTGTGTCCGCTAGGTGGCAGTTTCTGTTGCTAGGGACCCCGGACCATATTCCCAACGCCCGGGGATCCCCCCAGGTGACAGAGCGGGGACCCACTCGGGTGCCCCTGGGACTTTTGGGGGAGGAGAGGAGGAGAGGAGGGAGGGAGGGAGGAAAGGGGGAAGGGGGGAAAGAGGAGGTAGGACGACGAGGAGGAGGAGGAGGAGGAGGAGGAGGAGGAGGAGGAGGAGGAGGCAGGAGGAGAAGGAGGAGGAGGACGAGGAGGAGGAGGAGGGGAAGGAGGAGGAGAAGGAGATGGAGGAAGAGGAGGAGGAGGAGAGCGGCAGCGTTCGGATACCACCAATGCTGACAGGGAGTCAGGAAATGAGGAAGAGGAAAGGGAGGAGGAGAAAAAGGAGGAGGAAGAGAAGGAGGCGGAGGAAAAGGATGAGGAGGGAAGAAGAAGGATAGTGAGGAGGAGGAGGAGGACGAGGAGGAAGAAGAAGGGCAGGCGGAGGAGGAGGAAGAGGAGGAGGAGGACGAGGAGAGCAAGAGCAGGAGGAGCAGGAGGAGGAGAAGCAGGAGGAGGAGGCGGAAGCGGAGGCGGAGGAGAAAGAGGAGGAAAAAGAGGAGGCGGACGAGGAGGAGGGGTACGTTTTCTGAAGAACTCCGTCGTGAAGAGGCGGAGCCCCACCGCAGCAGGGGAGCCCAAGTCAGCCGCCGCCGCCGCCGCTGCAGCACGCGAGCAGCAAGGCGCGGGGCGCGCCTGGCGGTGAACCGCAAGCGCCCGTGCATCACTTTCATGGTGAACGAGATATCGGGCCGGGCGGCGCGAGAACGGAGGACTTTAAAAAATGGATGGAAAATATCAAGAGCAATGAACGACGAGACAGACGAGCCAAGAGATGATTCATCACACTGGTGAAAAAGGAAAGGAGGCTCACGAGCGGATCAGAACCATAACCACGAGAAAGAAAAGGAAAACGCAGGACATGGTAAGTAATGAAGGACGCAATATCCGCCCACTGCCGCACACCCATACCGACAATTCAAAACGCATTGGCAGTATCGCTTGGTCGTGTTCCAAACGTTACAAAGAGACTTCAACGGCGAAGTGATCAAAACGCTGGTACGTTGCACTCGACCGCGGCAGACTTCGGCATAAGAAGGGTACTGTCAATGTTCCGAGCTGTGATGAGAGGGGCGAACTTGCGAACACGAGGGCGGAGAAGAGAACGAACCGAAGGGCACGTTGTGTATCTCTTAATCTGAGAGGTAAACCATTATGAAGAGTCTTCTGTTCGGCTCCAGGAGGAGCATTCACAGCACATGTAGCATGACGATGTGCATGATATAACTGGGCGAATATGGAGGACCTGAAGAAGGGGGGGCCCTGTACGTGATCAAATACTCGTCAGACTCTAAGATATCCTGAAACGCTCTCATCGTCTGTGAAAAGAGAGTAGACCCAATGGCAACTCTAAGAAGGGCAGCTCGACAGCCAACAAACATGTCCCTGGCGTTCACTGGATGGCCAGCTTCCGCGAGGCGAAAAGAAGAGCCCCGGCGGAACGGAGTGTCTCGGCGCCAAGGCGCACAACTGATGACTCTCCTGCTTCCATCCTGAAGGCGAAGCTAGATGGCACATGGCCCTGAGCTGCATACTGAGTATCCGGGGGTGCATATCTATTGCGCGCCATGATAGACTGTGCGAAACCCAGACCCATGCGCTTGATACGGGCAGCCCGTTGACACATCTTGATGGCGGCCTGATGCCAGGAGAGCTCGGGCCCCTCGGGACGACCCTGCCAGGGCGATCTCGGGAGCGACGACAGGCAAGGCCTGGGATAGGCAGGGTGGCGCCATAGCCAAATCGTCAGCACAAGCTGACAGAGATACTGGAATACTAAGACTACGTCCGCGCATCTTTACCAGCACCGGGCGCAAGGCCAATGCAGAGAGATCGCCCGACAGAGGACAACCCCGCTCGATCCCGCGCCCCGCGCGGAACGACAGGATCTGGGAGCCTTTAAACTGCAAGTGGTACCTGACGTTTGCGCGCGGCTGTTCGACGGCCCCGACGACGGCCCAAGGGAGCCCGAACTTCTCCCAGACAGCGAAGATCCAAGGCTGACAATTGCTCGGAAACGCAGCTTGAAGTCGAAAAACGTGGCCCCAGTAAAACGATGCCCCAGGAGCTCCTTCCAGAAAAACAACTTGGCGTCAACCTCTATGGTGTCGTCGAGCGGTTTTCCTCCACGAATAAAGCCTCTTTGAACTGAATCAACCACCTGTTGAGCTGCGCGACTGATCGGTTCGGCCGTCGTCGCGGACACGAGCTTATTATATGCATTGGAGATAGCGAGGGGGCGAATTTAACAGACGCCCTTGGCGGCCGATCCGTCTTCCCCGGCGTCGCCCTTCGGCAGCGCAGCGAGCCTTGAAAAGTTCAAAATCAGTGCCGAGGACGCCGTCGTTCACGACGCGCACGTAAACGTCGCGCAGCGCCCGAATTACCCCCCCACACACACGCACACACACACACACACACCACACCACACCACACCACACCACACGCACACGCACACGCACACACACACACACACACACACACACACACACCACCACCACCACCACCACCACCACCACCACCACCACCACCACCACCACCACCACCACCACCACCACCACCAACAACAACAACAACAACAACAACAACACACACACACATACTTCCACGCAGAGAGGGGTGGGCCGCCAGGACCAGGGCTGGAGTCTTTCCGAGACTTAACGAGCTCCACGAATCTGTCGAATGCGGCGAGCCAAGGATAGCGAGCGCATTCCCATTGAGGCGGTGCTCACCAGTGTCGGTCGGGACGATGAGGTCGAGGAGGGTGGGGGCGCGCGACGCGTCGACAGCAGCGCCTCTGAAGACCCCATTCCCAGTGGTCAGCTAGCAAACTGCTGGCTGCATCAGGGTCAGAATGGGCGCGGCCCTGCGAGCCCACCACAGCATTCGGAAATGTCCGCCTGCCCGGGCGGGCCCAGGCGAACAACGCGCGCTTGGCCCGTTGGACATGATGACCACGATCCGGCACGTGCACAGCTTGCTCAAGTTCCCCCCCTCCCCCCCCTTTCAAGCTGCCCCTCCTCAGACTCTGGATGTGATTATGGGCCCCGACCGAGCCCGTTCACTCCAAAAGCTCGAACCCAATGAACTGCGCCAAGTCCGGGTCGGGTCGAACAGCCCGGCGAGCACCAGCGGCATAACGAAACGGACGGCGTCGGATAAGCTTCAGATCGCAGGCGGTCTTTTCAGCAGCAGATGCAGAGCGGGATTGGAGAACGATATGGCGAACAGCGGCATCAGCAGAATGACAGACATTGACTCCGTTGAGACGAGCGGGAAGGTCATCATCCAACTGATTGCGCGCAACGAGCTCCATGACAACCCCCGGGAACTTCAGGCGCATGCAAATCCACCCTGGAACTGCATGCGCGGCCCGATCGCTGGAAATAGCTGCGTCCGCAATGTCCCAGACCGTGCCAATAGTAGGCGAAAATCGAGCAAGTCAGTCGGTGGCATGTTAATGTAGATTCTGTCAAGTCGCACATGAGATAGGATGTCTGCTCGAGGTGTTCCGCACGTGAAATGCGGTTGGATGAGCTCAGTACGCCGTTGACACAAGCGTGAGAACGCAAGAGCAAGGCAATGAGCAGGCGCCCTCTCGAGAACACGTGAAACAGAATATCTAGCCCCCCTGCCTCGAGGGAGTTGCAACCGCGAAGCTGCTTGTATTGTCGCT